GTTCTTTATCTAAGTTGGAAGTTGGCCAGACTCCATGAGGCTAATTTTTCTGATTGAAAAGCCATGTATAATCTTTAATGTGTACTATGGCACTTTAATGACTGCCTAAGACTGTCAAAATAAAAAGTGTGATACTGACACCCTTCATGAATGTTAAATACATCTTTTAAAACAATTAAAAAACTTCTAAACCTAACTGGATCTTGGCACATCAACTCAAATCACAGACAAAGCATTTTGGCACTTGGGGCAAGATCACTAATTGGTGTATATGCCTACCCCCAAACAACACTTAGTAATTACTGTAAACAACTTTAAAAAATTAAACCAAGTGTTCCAGTTGACAAAATGTTGACAGTTAACATAATTTTCTTTTATCTTAAAGTCTTATTTCTCAAACAGCCTTTTGTCTTATTCTTAAAACAGTTCATCCGCTGTTCATTTTGAAGGTGCTGAACACTTTTATGTAAATATTCATAATGGGTTTAGTCACTTACTTTAAAATTTTTGCCTGAAGATACAGGCCCTCAGTGCTGGGAGAGGAGGGGAATGGGATGATGTAGGGAATGGGAAAGAGATGGGAAATGCCCAGCACAAATAACCAGCTCTGTTATGGTTCTTCAGATAAATCACATAACCTCATTTGTTCATTATACAGTATATACTAGGTTTGTGTGGTCCAATACAGTAGCCACTAGCCACATGTGGCTTTGAGCATTTGAAATGCAGCCAACCAAACTGCGATGTGCTGTACAGATTATATACACATCCAATTTTTAAGAATCAGTATGAAGAATGTAGAAAGTCTCAATAAATTTTTGTATTGATTACATGTTGAAAAAATATTTTAGATTTTTTAAATTTATTGATTGATTTGAGAAAGAAACATCGATTTGTTATTCCACTTATTTATGCATTCATTAGTTGATTCTTGTATGTGCCCTGACCAAGGATCAAACTGGCAACCTTGGCGTATGGGAACAATTCTCTAATTAACTGAGTTACCTAGCCAGGGCTATTTTAGATAAATTTAATTACATAAAAAATATAGTTAATTTCATCTATTTCTTTTTACTTCTTTATTTTATTCTTTTATATATATTTTTTCATTTCAGAGAGGAAGGGAGAGGGAGGGAGAGATAGAGACATCAATGAAGAGAGAGAATCATTGATCAGCTGCCTCCTGCACGCCCCCCACCGGGGATTGACCCCGCAACCTGGGCATGTGCCCTGACTGGGACTAGAACCGAGACCTCCTGGTTCCATAGGTCAATGCTCAACCACTGAGCCAGGCCAGTTGGGCTCTTTTTGCTTTTTCAAATGTGGCTACTATATAGGGTGCCCCCAAAAATGTATGTGCACACTTTGAATAATTATAAATACAGTGTTTATTAAAATACATTTCACCAGGCAATTTTTAAACAAGCATCATAAGCCTCCAATGGGTTTTAAGTATGCTGGGACAATAAAATCCCAGCCCTCAAGATGGCAGCATTGGACCTAGGATGGCTGGAGTCCCAACTTCTGTTGCCCTTGAATGGAAGCAGCCTCATCTTTTTATCACAATATAATACAAGTATTCATTTTCTAAGTACTGAAAAGGTTTGGGAAACATTGTTCTAATCAAGAAAGAAAGGAAAGGAAGGAAAGAAAAGAGAGAACCCCAATATTACGAAAGGTTCAAAATAGCTGCTTCTCTGTTAAAGTAGTTTTCTCACTTCTTTGGGACTTCATAATATTTTCTACCAGGTAGGGAGCATATAGCTCCTTATTGGTGACAAATATCTGTGTGTATGCTCATCATTTCCACTGTTAAATTAATCATAGTATAATCTCATAAGGAGAAGCTAAGAATTGTGAATAGGTTCAAAGACTTTCATCAAAACATGAGAAATGGGAATCCCTCAAGTGATGCCCAATTCATTTACCCACAGAGTACCTCCTTTATGGCAGGCACTCAGGTAGTTTCTGAAGTAAAAAGATTGTGACATCACCCTAGCCGGTTTGGCTCAATGGATAGAGCATCGGCCCACTGACTAAAGGGGTTCAGGTTTGATTCTGTTCAAAGGCATGTAGCTCAGTTGCAGGCTCGATCCCCAGGCTGGGTGGTGGCAGGCAACCAATTGATGTATCTCTCTCACATCGATGTTTCTCTATCCCTCCCTCGTCCTTCCACTCTCTCTGAAAATCAATGGAGAAAATATCCTCAGGTGAGGATTAACAAAAATAAAAAGGTTTTGACCTCAAGAAATTTACAGTCTGCCTGGGCAGGTGTCGCTCAGTGGTTGAGCATTGACCCATGAACCAAAAGGTCACTGGTTCAATTCCAGATCATGGCACATGCCCTGGTTGCAGGCTCGATCCTCAGTAGGGGGAGTGAAAGAGGCAGCCTGTGGATGATTTTTCTCTCTCATCAGTGTTTCTCTCTGTCCCTCTCCCTTCCTCTCGCTCTAAAAATCAGTAACATTAAAAAAGGATTAATTAAATAATTTAAAGTATAATAAATGTAAGATGGGAAGGTACATAGTGCTCAAAGAGTATCTAATAGAAGAGACTATTAAAACAAGATAAAAGGATTAGTAATCACTAGGCATAGGGTGGGGAAAGGTTTGTTTCAGAATTCCAGACAGAGGCAACAGCATGCAAAGCCCTAGGATTAACAGGCCAGTGAGGCCAGAGGGCAGAAAATGTTTGGAAATGAACCTGGGGAAGCAGTAGAGGCAGTTTAAAGGGCTTTCTTCAGGATAACAGTAAGCCACTGAAGGGATTTAGGCAGCATAGTGCCATCATCAAACTTATTTTTCAAGATTATAGTAGCTATAGTGTAGAGGGGTGTTCTCAAAGTAGGCAAAACTTAAATGGGAGAAGATACTAGATTTTAACTTTTTCTCATCCTTTAAAAAATGTCTTTAAAATATGTGTTATAATAGTCATCATGTATTAGCTCAGATGTATTAATAAGGGCTAGTTTTTACTGAATACATACTACCTATCTGAACGCTCTACTAAGCAGTTTACATAGTTAACTCATTTACTCTTCATAACTCTGTGAGGTTGGTACTATTATTATCCTCATTTTACAGATAAGAAAAATGAGACAGGTTAAGGTCACATAGGAAGTATTAGAGCCAGATTCAAAGCCAGGATGTCTGGCTCATTAGATTATATGCCACTTTTCAGCAATACATGTATACAACTTAAAAATACACATGAATTGAGAATAGATGCTTAAAACTTCTCCTGAACACCAGTTTAGGTGGGGTTATTGGTTGGGTGGATATGAACAGCAGACTAGGTGAGATAATGGTATCCTGAAATGTGGGGGTAGTAATGAAGAGAAGGGGATGGATTTGGGAGATAACTGGTGAGTAAAATGGACAGGACTTGGTGATAGACTGGGTACGGGGGTGAAGGGAGAAGGAGCCAAGGATGATTCTTTTGATTCCGACTTACATAAATGGATTGGACAATGAAGCCGCTGACAGAGGCCAGAGCAGCAGGTTAGGCCATTCAGTTATGATAGTTTCTCTTTGGAACACAAGTACACTGTCCTTTCAATGTGGCATTAAAAGACAAACTGATTACAGGGTCTTTCCATTTGTAACAAAACTCTCCATTTGCATTACAACATTTTTACAAGCAATTATGCTTCCTACGTTGCATTAAAATTGTCATGGTCAAATTTTCACCCATTTTCTCTAAAGGTGAAATGAATTAAGTCATAAAATTTGGAAGTGGATGATGTTTGCTATAATAGGGCAATGAAAGTTCAATAGTCCTCTTCTTTAAAGATACCAGTGTCCTATAGGATTGCTAAAACGGTTCAGGAGCATCCTATTATGTTCCATCACAAGAAGTAAGCTGTGATATTCATTCTTGAAGATAGACAGTGATTGGAAAAATTACTTGTACATTTTGTATTTATGATTTTCTAAATACTACTTAACCTTTAAAGTTTATAATATTGCCCTATGTCTTCCTCCCAGGTCTTAGAAGAATCCCAGAAAAGAATTGAACTGGTTTAACAGATACTGTGATTCTACTCTATTCTGTTTATTTCCTTCAACTTCATTTGTAGAATTTCTAATGCTAAAACGCTTCTTTCAGAAATCAAGATAAATAGGAAAACATACTAACAGTTCGAATGTTACTAGCCACAGGAAATGTTGATTTAAAAAAACACTAAATTGGGTAACTCAGCTGGTGAGAGCGTCATCCGGATACACCGAGGTTGCGGTTGGGTCCACCAATGACTGCACAGAGGGTTGCGACAACAAAATCGATGTTCCTCTTGCCCTCTCTCTTCCTCTCTCGCTCAAACAAAACAAAACAAAACAAAAACTAATCTATTGCTCCAACAAATAATGCTGGTCATTCGGTCTCATATTTCAGGTTCTCCAGAAACTTTCCACCTAACCTCAGCAAAAGAGACATCGTTTTGCTGCCGGGTCCGGCCCATCACCGAACTGCAGGTAACAGTGGCAAGGCGGCGAACTGCGTTAACTAACCCTCCCCTCCCTGCTCCGTTCATTTAACTTCCCCTTTGGTGCAGGCCACTCAGATGCTTTCCCTGAAATGTGCTCAAGTCAGACACGTGTATAAATTCCGCGTCACACCAAGGAATCGATTCTTCCCAAACGAAACCTTGTGAGCTTCCTGCCCGGCGTCCCCAAAACGCGGCGGAGGT